ATGATTAATTTTCTCTCATCCTACCAAGCAGGGGCTCCACCCTCATATGATCACTTATCACCCATCATACCAGGGACTCCACCCTCATATGATCACTTATCCGCCATCAGGGGCTCCACCCTCTCATGATCACCTATCACCCATCATACCAGGGAGGGGCTCCACCCTCATATAATCACTTATCACCCATCATACCAGGGGCTCCACCCTCATATGATTACTTACTACTAACCATACCAGGGGCTCCACCCTCATATGATCACTTATCACCCATGATACCAGGGGCTCCACCCTAATATGATCACTTATCACCCATCATACCAGGGGCTCCACCCTCAAATGTGTTCACTTACCACCCAGCACTCCAGGGGCTTCACCACCATCACGTATTTGAAATGCTCACTTCCCGTGTTTTTCCTTTCTATAGAAGATTTGTCTATTTCAGGTGTCTAATTACTATCTGTGCTGACCCAGCTCCTCCACCCCTTCCTCCCTCGTGTTGGTAAACAGTTGCCCAAATAATGTGCACGTTACAAAATCACATCCACCATCATTGGATTCTCCAGAGCCTCTGCTTTCAGAACATGTAGAATGTTTTGGGGGTATTAAGCCATTCTCTAGCCAAATATGCCATTTTTATCGTGTGCCAAAAATTAGAAAATTGCTCCGATAGTGAAGTGGTCTGTACTGCAGGTTGTACGCTGCGTCCAACGCCACTACGAGGTGTCATTATGAGGACCACCTGGAGTATGTTTACCACTAGAAAAATATCTCAGTCATCATTAGGAATAGGAAATGTATTAATAGTTACATACTATATACCCTGTTTCTCCAAAAATAAGACCTACCCCGAAATTAAGACCTAGTTGTGACCATTCCCAGGGCCGGTGGTGGTATAAGGGGGAACTTGAAGAGCCGCAGGAGAGAATCAGCGGTGCCAACTAAGCCAGCGCTAGAGGAAGCGAGGCGGCAGCGGAGGGAGCAGAGCCGCATAAGCCGATGCCTTCTCTATAGCACCGGCTCCTGTCACAGGCGGAGTGATACCAAATGCGCTCCGCCTGTGAGGAATCGATAGTGAAAGTGCGCTTCGCTCATTCTGGCCAGCGATTGGTTAGCAAATTGCTCTTGGAAAGGTACGGCACCCCTGATTGCCCTGATTCTTAAAGGAGAACTATGGGGTTAAGTCTTTCCCCCATAGTTCTCCTTAGGGTAACGGGAGGACACAAACTAGCGTCCTCACGTCACCCTAGGCTCAGTATACCGCAAGCTACAGCTCCCGGTACACTGAGATGCTGCAGCTGAAGCGGATCCCGACAATTATGCCGGGATCCGCCCAGCTGCGTGACTGACAGCTGGCTCTGCCTATCTAGAGGCAGAGCCAGCTGTACCCCACCCCTCCCCCGTCCTTTCTGCCAGTCAGCGCTGGAGGATCGGAGCGTGGAGGGGGGAATCCAGCCCTCCCCTGTCACGGCAGAGAGCCGTCCCAGGATCGAGAGGTGAGCGAACGCCGGTATGTGTTCGCTCACCTCCCGATCTACTGAGCCGACCTGTGACAGTCTCATTGTCACAGGTCGGCTAGAACTATGAGGTGAGTGAAAAGCACTCACCTCATAGTTCTCCTTTAACTTTGCCATTTTGGATTATTTAATTTGGATTTGCATTAACTTTGGATTGTTATAAATTAAAATAAATAAAAAATAAGACCTAGTGTGTGTTTTTTTGAGCCAAAAAAGTATAAGACAGTGTCTTATTTTCGGTGGAAACACGGTATATAAAAAAACATAACACCTAAATGTGACACTAAACTCACCTGATCAATCTTAGAAATACATTCAAGTGCCTGAACTAGTAACAAATATTCTATTGTGGACAAAAGTAGCAAAAGTAGCCCCCCTGCAGAAGGAAGGACGTGTCAGCACCAATTCAGAGATGATTGGAGGATCTACAGCCGAGTGCTACACAAATAAGATACATTGTTGTTAATAGTTTGGGAACTTGAATGTATTTCTTAAGATTTAACTCCTGAGTTTAGTGTCACTTTATTAACCACCTCCGGGCCGGCCGTAGTAAAAAAACGGCCGGCCCGAGCTCTCTAGATCTGAGCGGGCGTCTTTAGACGTCCGCTCAGACACGCCCCCCCGCGTGCGCCGCTCGGCGCGCGCGAGCGGGAAATGGCCGTTTTTTAAAAACAGGCAGCGATGCCTGTCACCATACAAGCGATCCGCCGGCTGTAGAGCCGGCGGATCGCGTGTATGGGGTGCCGATCGGTCCCGTCCCCCCCCATCCGCGCCCCCCC